TTATCTGGGTCATGAAGATCTTTTTTGTATAGTTCTTCTGTGTATTCTTGCCACCTCTTCTTAATATCTTCTGCTTCTGTTAGGTCCATACCACTTCTGTCCTTTACTGTGCTCATCTTTGCATCAAATGTTCCCTTGGTATTTATGATTTTCTTGAAGAGATCTCTAGTCTTTCACATTGTGTTGTTTTCCTCTATTTCTTTGCACTGATCACTGAGGAAGACTCTTATCTGTCCTTGCTATTCTTTGGAACTCTGCATTCAAATGGGTATATCTTTCCTTTTCTCCTTTGCTTTTCGCTTCTCTTCTTTTCACAGGTATATGTAAGGCCTCCTCAGACAGCCATTTTGCTTTTTTGCATTTCTTTTTCTTGGAGATGGTCTTGATCCCTGTCTCCTGTATAGTGTCACAAACCTCCGTCCATAGTTCATCAGGCACTGTCTGTCAGATCTGATCCCTTGAATCTGTTTCTAACTTCTGCTGTATAATCATAAGGGATTTGATTTAGGTTATATCTGAATGATTTAGTGATTTTCCCTACTTTCTTCAATTTAAGTCTGAATTTGGCAATAAGGAGTTAATGATCTGAGCCACAGTCAGCTCCTGGTCTTGTTTTTGCTGACTGTATAGAACTTCTCCATCTTTGGCTGCAAAGAATTTAATCAATCTGATTTCAGTGTTGACCATCTGGTGATGTTCATTTGTAGAGTCTTCTCTTGTGTTGTTGGAAGAGGGTGTTTGCTATGACCAGTGCGTTCTCTTGGCAAAACTCTGTTAGCCTTTGTCCTGCTTCATTCTGTACTCCAAGGCCAAATTTGCCTGTTACTCCAGGTGTTTCTTGACTTCCTCCTTTTACATTCCAGTCCCCTATAATGAAAAGGACATCTTTATTGGGTGTTAGTTCTCAAAAGTCTTGTATGTCTTTATAGAACTGTTCAGCTTCAGCTTCTTCAGCATTACTGGTCACGGCGTAGACTTGGATTACCGTGATATTGAACAGTTTGCCTTGGAAACAAACAGATCATTCTGTCGTTTTTGAGATTGTATCCAAGTACTGCATTTCAGACTCTTCTGTTGACTATGAGGGCTACTCCATTTCTTCTAAGGGATTCTTGCCCACAGTAGTAGATACAATAGTCATCTGAGTTAAATTCACCCATTCCAGTCTGTTTTTGTTTGCTGATTCCTAGAAGGTCAACGTTCACTCTTGCCATCTCCTGTTTGAGCACTTCCAATTTGCCTTGATTCATGGACCTAACATTCCAGGTGCCTATGCAGTATTGCTCTTACAGCATCAGACTTTGCTTCTATTACCAGTCACATCCTTAACTGGGTGTTGTTTTTGCCTTGGCTCCATCCCTTCATTCTTTCTGGAGTTATTTCTCCACTGATCTCCAGTACCATATTGTTCACCTACTGACCTGGGGAGTTCATCTTTCAGTGTCCTCCTATCTTTTTGCCTTTTCATTCTGTTCATGGGGTTCTCAAGGCTAGAATACTGAAGTGCTTTGCCGTTCAGTTTAGGGGAAAAAGAATGCAAAGCCCCTGAGGGAGGAGTTTTATGGCAGGTTGAAGAAACACAAAGCAGCTAATCTTGCTTTAACAAAGCAGATGAGGAGGGCGGTGAGTGTTGGGAAGCATAGCTGAAGATGACTAAGAGGTAGGTGGAATAAATGCATTTTGGGGGAGGAGGTTATAAGGACTTAATTATTAAAAAAGGTCTGTGGAATACAGACTAGGTAGGGGCTGGGGGACTCAAAGTCAGAAGCAGGCAGAATAATTTAGTCAGCTGTTGCAGCCTGCTGGGTAAGAGATGGTGGTGGCTTGGATCAAAAGGGTAGCAGTGTCCAGTCACGGGTAGATTCTGACGTTTAAGCCAACAAGATTTGCTGATCAGACTGGATGGGTGGGGTATGAAGGGAGAATTGATCAGTTGGAAGGATGGATTTCTGATTGACTCAAGGACAGCTCTGAGGAGAGGAGCAGGTTAAGGGTGGGGAAGGTCATGCTAAGTTTGGGATGGTTACTAGAGATTCAAGAGTAGCTGTGGAGCACAGGGTTATGAATAGAAGCATGATTCAGGGAGAAATCTGCAGAATATGCATTTGGGGAGGCTTCTGCATACATGGAGTGGATTGATTATATAAATTCATCAGACTAGATGAGATCACTGTGGAAGTGTGTAGGCAGAGTAGAAGACCTCAGACAGAGCCCTGGTGCCCTTCTATAGTGTAGAGTTGGCACGAGGTTGATACCATGCATCTAGGAAGAAAGCCAGGAGAGAGTGGCTGCAGGAAGCTGGATAAAGCCTTGCAAGGAGAGCACAAACCAGGTGGGTGAGATGGTGCTTCTAAGTCAGTTAGGATGAAGGTTAAAGGCTAGCCATTTGATTTAACCATGTGGGAATCATTAATGGCCTCAACAAGCAAACTGGCAGCTAAAGCCTGCTTCGAGAGTTGTGTTTAAGACCAGAGCAGAGGAGGGAGGTTGGAGACATGCAAGTTTAGATGACTTTCAAAGAGGAGTAAAGTAATGGGGCAGTAGCTGGGGGCTGGGGTGGGGATGTTGAGTTGAGTCAGGGTCATTTCCTTCCCCCTGTTTCTTTTCTTTTTTTTTTTTTTTGAGAAATTACAGTAGGTTTGTACAGTTTGGGGAAAATCCGGTAGAGGGGAAACGGTGATTCAAGAGAGGAAGAGGATGCTAGAGCAATGTCCTTGGGGAGGTGAGGAGATAAGATCTAAAGGAGAGGTTGGTCTTAGCCCAGAGTGACAGTCACTTCACCCTTAGTAACAAGAGAAAAGGTGCAGAGCACCTGGGCCCACAGATGCAGGTTGATGTGCAGATGCTACTGTGAGAACCTAAGGAGGGGCTTCTGTTTTCTCCTGTCATACAAAACAGAGATGTCAGCCAAAAGTGAAGATGTGGATAGAGATATTGGAGGTGGACAGGAGGAAGAATGTTCAGTTAATTAGGAGAGAGAGAAAGATGGAAAAGAGAACTAATGATATTGTTGGGGGAGCAGTAAGGGTCCATTTGAGGTTGGTTCATTTTCGATTTTAGAGACTAATCAGCTTGGAGACTAATCTCCAGCACTGTTTAAATGCCTCTGCACTTGTACTTCTTTGTTCCGTTAGATTTTTCAGAGGGGAGATTTTCAATGACTTTAAAGATTAATTTTGCTTTTTAAACAGCTTGGTTTTGGTTAAATTTAAATAGAGCAGGTTACCTTACCTATGTAGAAATACTGTTGTTATTTTCTTTTTTTTCCCTTTTCTCTCCCATGAGTATAAGATCAATTTCATTAGTCTAATTTTATTCTCCACATATTTGTAGACATTTGTAGCTGCAGTTGTACATGATGTCATCAGTGTTTGCTGGCAGTTGCTTTCAGCTGCTTATGATGATTTATGTTATTTTCTTTGAACTTTACATTTTATAAGCTAAATAGAAAACCCTTTGAGAAATTGGAGAGGTTCTTTTATATCCAATTCCAAGAAATAAATTTCTCTAATTTTTATTTTGGTGTTTAGCAAAATGGTATTTGTTTCACAAATGTGTTCTGTTTCTCTGTTGTAGGAAACCCAGCGTTTGCTGGCAGAACCAGTTCCTGGCATTAAAGCAGAACCAGATGAGAGCAACGCCCGTTATTTTCATGTGGTCATTGCCGGCCCTCAGGATTCCCCCTTTGAGGGAGGGACTTTTAAACTTGAACTATTCCTTCCAGAAGAATACCCAATGGCAGCCCCTAAAGTACGTTTCATGACCAAAATTTATCATCCTAATGTAGACAAGTTGGGAAGAATATGTTTAGATATTTTGAAAGGTAAGTGTTATCTTTATCATCATATGCTGTTGAGATTTTTTCCTTTTTTCTCTTAAACATTCCATTTTGAGAATCTGAATATTATAATCTTACCTTATATGAAGACCGCAGAAGTGTGGGAGGGAAACGCAGCAGTTCTGGAGCTGTTGTTTTCATTCATGGTCATTCTTGTTGCCTTTGTAGATAAGTGGTCCCCAGCACTGCAGATCCGCACAGTTCTGCTATCGATCCAGGCTTTGTTAAGTGCTCCCAATCCAGATGATCCATTAGCAAATGATGTAGCGGAGCAATGGAAGACCAACGAAGCCCAAGCCATAGAAACAGGTATTTTTCATTCTCCTTCACACCACTTCCACTTTTAAAAACAACCTGTACCACAACATTTTTTTTTTGGGGGGTCGTGTCTTGCTCTGCTTGAGGGGTCTTAGGTCCCAGTTCAGAGATCGAACCCAGGCTATGGCAGTGAAAGTGTCAAGTCCTAACCACTGAACTGCCAGGGAATTCCTGTGTATCACCTTTTTAAAAACTTAGTTTTAACCAGAAAGGAAAAGATTTGTTAAAAGGAGAAGATCAGATCTCTCTTATAGTATGTAAATAACCTCTTAACAAAAGATTTTCAGACTCCATCTTACGGCTCACTGCATGACTCCGATTTAAAGAGGAACAGTAGTTGGGAGATCTTGGACTGTTGTATAAACTACACGATTTAACAAATGTCTGAGTGCCTGCCATTCATTTAGCTATATGTAAAGATAATGGAAGACCTTTAAACTTCCTTGAGCTGTTTTTGCAGTCTGTTTGATTAAATTAAACTATGCGTCCATTTATAGTTAGGGAGTTTGAAAGCAATAAGTTTCTTGCTACAAATTTTTTTTTTCTTGCTACAAATTTTAACAATTAATGAGGAGCATCATATGAGAAAGGAAGGAGACAGCTCTTTTCATCCTTTGGAATTTTGTAGAACTTTTGAATTCCATTGTAATGTTTCGGTAATTAGATGTATAGACAGTCTTTCTGCCCCGATCTAGATTATAGAAAATGACATGAATTTAAGAGATTATAGCATGCTGTTTTCATAATTAACTTAATTCTGTTTGTTTGTTTTGTATAGAGTTTGGAAAGGAACATGTTGAACTTAAGTAAAGTAATAATCACGTTTGTTTTTGTCCACAGCTAGAGCATGGACTAGGCTATATGCCATGAATAATATTTAAATCGCTTCGATCCTCAAGTGTGCATCACTTCTCCTGTTCTGCCAAGACTTCTTCCTTTTTTGTTTGCATTTAATGGACACAGTCTTAGAAACATTACAGAATAAAAACCCAGACATCTTCAACCCTTTGGTGATTAAATGCACATTAGCAAATCTATGTCTTGTCCTGATTCACTGTTGTAAAGCATGAGCAGAGGCTAGAAGTACCATCTGGATTGTTGCGAAACGTTTAAAAGCAGTGGCGCCTCTCTGCTTTTATTCATTTCCCCCATCATGGTTTAAGTATAAAGCACTGTGAATGAAGGTAGTTGTCAGGGTTAGCTGCAGGGGTGTGGGTGTTTTTCTTTATTTTATTGTTATTTTTTTTTTTTTGGTGGGGGGGAAGGTAGTTTTATTTTAATTTTATGGGCTCCTTTCCCCCTTTTTATGGTGATCTAATTGCATTGGTTAAAAGCAGCTAACCAGTTCTTTAGAATATGCTCTCTAGCCAAGTCTAACTTTATTTAGACGCTGTAGATGGACAAGCTTGATTGTTTGAGCCAAAATGGGAACATTAAACAGACATCACAGCCCTCACTAATAACATTGTGACCTTGCTGTCAAGTGTAGAATCCTCCCTTCAAGAAAAAGCTTGTGACCATTTTGTATGGCTTGTCTGGAAACTTCTGTAAATCTTATGTTTTAGTAAAATATTTTTTGTTATTCTACTTTGCCTTTGTACAGTTTCTTTTACTGTGTTTATTTCATTTTCCCATTGTGACAATCGTATTTAAAAATTAAAACTGATGGAACATTCTGTTTTGATCTTCACCATCTGACGAATTGAATGGTGAGAGGTAGATTTTGCCAATTTCTTTTCACTGATGCAGATTTGTGTTAAGATATATCACTGAATGAAGTATTTATAAGCTGGCCCTGAGCATGCCTAAAACATCAGTATGTGACATTTTTTTTTACCTCCTAGAAATCTGAAATAAATGTGCGTGTGTTGTCTGATTAGTAGGTGACCGTTGGTGTCTTGCCACAGTGTTTGGAAACTTACTGTTCAGGAGAGTCACAGCACAGCCACACCAGTGACTGGCTTTGTGTGGGACTTCTGCTTGTGCCACCGTTGTGTCTGGCATTTGGGTTATGACCTTGCTCTTAGTTCTTGTCTCAAAACTTCGTGTGTGACCATTGTTATTAGAAAACAGCAATCTGGTAATCACTTGGGGTTCGCTGAGGCATTTATCAGTCCTTCTTGCAGACCTGCTGAGCAGATCTCAAGCAGTCAGCTTGCCATAAGCGTCATGAGAAAGGTTTCTCCCTTAGAGGGCATCAGATCCTCAACTAATGATTCTTACTGTCATCCCTGTAATATTTACTGCGGGAGCTCCTTTTATTCTTTAATTTGATAATCAGCAATTATCTGCATTGACAGAGTTCTTCCCCCCCACAAAGCTGTTCTTTCCCACCTTTCCATATCTAATTCCTAAGTCTTGTTATTTTAAGACATTAATGTAGTCAGTCATAAGTATGTAAATGTTAACCTGTGGGTTGGAACCTTTGTCTCTTGCAGTTTAAGGTAATGGATATTGTAGCCCATCTGAATTTTCCCCACTCTTATTCTCATACCTTCTGGAGTTTCTTCAGAATGTGGTGTATTTTATTGTGCTCCTATGTAAGATGAAGAATATCTATTAAAATTACATTTTCAACATACAAAAGTTTTTGATGACTGGTAACTGGTATCCTTCAATAAATGCGTTGCTTGGGAACAAATATTAGTTTAATTCAGAGTAAAATTGTTCATAACCCAAATATTGTAAATTTAAAAGCTTAACAGCTGTTGTCATTTATAACAATTGTTGATCTCTCTAAGTTGTCTTACAACTAAGGGAATTGAATCTCATTCTGGGGCCAAAATGAATGAATATTCAATCAGTTAAATAGAGATCAGTTTTATTTATTGTAGGTGGCACATTGCTCAGATGATAGCTAGTATGACATAGTGATTTAGAAGTATAAAATTCCAGATTTAAATCTGTTCATCCACAAAAATGTATCTAAAATAGGACTCTGATGTCTGAGTTTTTGAGTTACCGAAGTGCAAATACGTGAATTCCTCATTTCATGGCAACATGGTTTTTTCGTTTGTAATTTTGATAAGAGCCCCCATTGTTTTGATAATACTTGCTCCCCAACCAGTGGGATGAAACAAGAGCCAGTGTGTTGGCTGGTCTTCCTTAGAATTTAAGGGGATCTGGGAGAGGCCAAGATAGAGTTTTAAAACTGGCAGCCACATCTGGCTTTGGGACCTGTTTTCCTTGGCCCACATGGTGTGGTTGGTTAAAACATTTTGAAATCAATGCTGACATTTTAGAAAAATTGGGAGTGTCGCGTGAGAATCTAGAATTCGGGTAACTTGAATGATCTGAAGTTCTGACAACAGGAAGACGTGACCTTCCTTATGCAAGGCACCTGCTGGGAGGAGCTGGGTAGTAGCCTTCCTAAGATGAGCTTGTTATTCTTCTACTCAGTGATTCTCAGGCTGGTTAGAATCCCCTCCCAGCCCACCTGCTCCGCTCTGTAATCCTTCTCCCTTGTAAGCCTTTGACTTTGTAACTCCTTAGCTTATGGATGCACTACTACGTGTCAGGGATGATTAGGTGAATGGGACTGGCATAGGATGTTCCCTCGTGGGCCTCATCTCAAGAGGGGTGCGGGTGGGGCAGATGGACGGCAGTGGCAGCGCGGATGGAGAGGGGAAGTAAGCGCTTGGGAGGGACTGCGCTTCTGGATTCAATACCTACAGGCAGGGGGCCAGCTTGTGCAGAGCCCGGGGAGAGGAAAAGAATCTGAGTATATTGATAAATGGCTTCTGAACATAACTCTGCCCATTCAAAAGCTTTTCTGAAATCTGGAGGGGTTGATAGGAGCCTTATGTTTTTCATGTGATTTTTAAAATTTTGTTTTCTCCTTTGTTGTGATTTACTTCCACGCTAGCTAGTGTTGGTCCTCTCAGAAGCTGCCGAATGAGATCTTAGATTTGAGATATGTAGACCAAGAACATACTTTAATACAAAATTTCAGAAGCATTTAAAAATAAACACAATACCTAAAAAAGCCATAGGTGCTATGGTTTAGCACTAGTAAAGGAGAGTATGGGGTGGGAAATCCTATAAGACTAACAGTTTTAGCTAAATGGAACTAAATGGTATGGGAATAATAGGAACTGGCTACTTTAGCCACGTCAACTTTTTGTTAGTTGCAGTTGCAAAGGTTTAGAAATACAGCCTTATCTACAAGAGCTGGCCAAACGAAAAAGGTAAAATGCCATGATTATAGGGCAGCTAATTCAACAGTCTATTTTTAAAAAATGTAATTTCATTGGAATAATGTATTTTGGGACTGGGGGCAACATTTCATTTAACTGTGCAGCATGCGCTTAGTTTAAGAAATTATATTAGGGGGTTATTTTTAAATGACTTAATGATCACAAAGACAAAACGTGTTGAATGTAATAACTTGGAATATTAAGAATAAAAATCTGTACCCCACCACCCAGACTGATGATACTTTGTTTCCTTAACTATATCTTCCACCCCCTGCATTAATATCCATTTTTTTAATCATTGAGGTTGGAAATCAGGAGGATTTGTTCCAGGAGTTGGTTTTGCTACATCTTTATGTTACAAATTGGAAAAGTTCCCCATTGGCTGCAAAACTGGGAGTTGGACTAAAATTTTCCTTGTTAAGTATAGAACTCAACCTGAAGAGTCTGGGTCCTCCATCCTCCTGGCGATTTCATCTTTGCTACCCTTTAGCTGATTTGATATGTGCCAGTTGTAGCATTCAAGGGTATGAATGCAGACTTGCTAATAACCAAGCAAGCCTCTGTGGACTTGTAGTTTCTGATTGGTTGGAGAAGCATATGGTAAGTGCCTGGATATTTAGAGCTTACTGCCTCTTGTAGAGAGCAACAACTGAATTCCATGATCTTGTAAAAGTTTATTTCATGGTGCTCTTTAAGGAGCTTTAACATTTTTCTGCTACTCATTTTTACCTATGAGACAAAAAAGCTTTAGAAATATGAGAGACTTGACAGATAGCTCAGGTTCCCTATTGTGGAATAACTAGCGTGTTTCCATTTTATATATTCCCAATCCACACTCACCCACCATGTGACTCCTATTGAAATAAATAGTTCATGATCTAGATTGTTGTGGTTCAGTTTCTCAGTCATGTCTAACTCTGTGACCCCATGGACCCCAGGCACGCCAGGCTTCCCTGTCCCTCCCAATCTCCCATAATCTGCTCAGACACATGTCCACTGAGTCGATGATGCCATCCAACCATCTCATAAAAAATAGGGAGCACTTCATGAATTTGTGTGTCATTAGTAAATTCCAGTAGCTCTGTAAGTTTCATTATAATAAGTTTACGAAGTATTCTGGTTTATATTCTAAGAGTAGACTACTCAAAAAGACTTACTTAGATCTGTCAAGTAGCTTAAACATGATAGGTTGGTTGCACCAGATTTCAAGTTGGTGCTGTTTTCCTTATGTTTTGGCAGGAAGTATTAGAACTGTGAGTAACCAAAGGAGTAGGACCAAGTTGTTGCAATCCCTGTTTTTTCATTCTGAAACAGTAAATATTTTGGGCTTTCCAGGCCATGGGTCTGTCTCAGTTAACTCAGCTCTGCCAGTGTGGTGAGAAGACATCCATAGACGATTTTAAACAAATAGGTACGCTGTTCTCTGCTCTAACAAAACTTTAGTTTTCACGTCAGAGTATTTTTTTCCCAACTACTGAAAATGTGAAAAGCATTCCAAGTTTGTGGAATATACAAAAACAGGCTGGGGTCTCCATTTGGCCTGTAGGAGAAGGAAATGGCAACCCACTTCCACTCCAGTATTCTTGCTTCTTGCCTGGAAAATCCCATGGACAGAGGAGCCTGGCGAGCTAGTCCCATCGGGTCATAAAATCAGACACAACTGAGCACGCGTGCACCAGGCTGTTAACCCCTACCTACTTGACAGTGACATTACTTGTGTTATAAGCAAGATGTGTGCCCCCCACCCACCCCTGCCACCTTTAAAAAGTGATGTGTGCTTGTTCAAGTTGCTTCGGTCGTGTCCAACTCTCTGCGACCCCATGGACTGTAGCCTGCCAGGCTCCTCTGTCCATGGGGATTCTCCAGGCAAGAATACTGGGTGGTTTGCCATTTCTTTGACCAGGGGATCTTCCCAACCCAAGGACTGAACTTGCATCTCTTAGGTCTCCTGCATTGGGGGCAGATTCTTCACCACTAGCTCCATTTGGGAAGTCTTTAAAAAGTAATATGTTAACTGTTACTCTAGTAACAGGAATGATTTGTGCAGGTTTCATTTTTCCACTTTGATATTAACACATACAGATTGGCCATTTAATCAAGCCCTGTTTTTTTCATGATATATTTTCATAGCAAATTTCTCAATGTTCACAGGAATGTTCAAAATTATACAGGATTTGATTTTTAAAGAAAATTGTACAGGCTTCTTTAAAAGTGAGCTTTAACAGGAAATTCTGTGTAGTGTTTTTCAATTAGTGATTACTGAAAGGAACTCCATCTCTGGCAGCCCATTTCTTTGCTGTCTTATCAATGGATGACTGTAACTTAACCCCACCCAATTTGTACATCTAAGTTGATGCACATTTTATAAACAAAGCAGTACACACCTTTGACCATATTCACCATATTTTGATTGTGCAACTTGAAGCATTTTTGTTGACTGGGTTCCCAGAAGTAGGTGAAAGGGTTATTATATGCATTAAAAAAAAATTTTTTTTTTGGCTGTGTCAAGCCTTCGTTGCTGCGCAGACTTTCTAACTGGGGAGAGCATGGGCCATCATTGTGGTGGCTCTTCTTGTTGCTGAGCAGTCTTGGGCACATGGGCTTCAGGAGTTGCAGCTCCTGGGCTCTAAGCACAGGCTCAATGACCGTAGGTGCGTTCAGCTGCTCCACGGCATGTGGGACCTTCCTGGATCAGGGGTCAACCTGTCTTCTGTACTGGCAGGCGGATTCTTCACCACTGAGCCACCAGGGAAGCCTGCATTTAAAAATTTAATAGTGGTACTACACTGCCATACCAGTTTATTCTGGCATCCTTAACCTGAATACCATTTTTATGTCTATGATATTCCACCATGTGGACACATTACTAGTTAACCATTACGCCTTTGGGCCTGGGCATTTTATTTCCATGGCTCACCAGTTTGGTTGCCTTACCGTGGTAGGTACATATGTGTCCGCATTCCTTGAGATTAGACTCCTGGTGTAGTAACTTGATCAAAAGGTATGTTTAATTACACATACCTCTTACTATACAGTAATAACCAAATAAAGTATTTTTTATTTCACTGATTATGGAATGAATTTGAGTAAAAATTGAGAAAAGCAGAAAGATTTACAGTACTATTATGTCTGGCACTAGTGTTTAGAACCAGGTAACGTGATGTCCAGAGGGTAGTATTCCACATATTGGGAAGAGTAACTTTTAGGATCATAATCAGTTGAAATCACATCAAAGTAGAGAAATGTAAGACTAGTTTCTGAGTAAATTAGGCTCTTTGCCATAATGCAGTGCCAAGATAGCACTTAGGAGCCTTCCCAGCTTTCTTACTGCTTGAATTTAGCCAAGGGAACTAGTTAAGTGAAAGTTGCTCAGTTGTGTCCAACTCTTTGTGAACGCATGAACTCTACAGTCCATGGAATTAGAGAATACTGGAGTGGGTTGCCTTTCCCTTCTCCAGAGGATCTTGCTGACTCAGGGATCAAACCCAGGTCTCCCGCATTGTAGGCGGATTCTTCACCAGCTGAGCCGCCAGGGAACTAGTCAGGAAGGTACTAAAAGGACAGCAGCAGCACCAGGGATGAGATCCCTTTTCAACCTGAGTTTTGTTCTACAGTTCCATACAAAATGCGTCAAAGTATTTGATGGGGATCACATTTTTAAATAAAGATTTTGTTTTTGAAGTCGGTACATGTCTTAAAAAATAGAGCTTACATCTTCAAGGACATTTTCTGATGGATACATAACTCCTCTCTATGCCTCACTAGAATCTAAGTTCCTCGAGGGGAGAAACGTGTTCTATGCTGCTGCACTAACGCTGGGCATAAAGCAAATGCTGACCATTGTGCAGCTAACGGTGAATGTTGCATTAAGAATTTATGAAACAAGGTAACTGTACTGGATGGGAACTTCATTTGAGGACAATCAGCTACAACATTCCAGCTGTAATATCTGTCACAAATCATACTTTGATAAACTCAACTAGTGTTTAACTAGATTTACGTAAGAGATCTCTAGAAGATTCTTGTATTCCAATGTGAAGACATTAGAAAATGCCAAGCTTTCTCTTTTCTTCCAATTTAAAATCTTAATCAAAACCAAATGAGATCTGAGTAGAACTTTTATGTGAGGATTCTAAAGTTCATCTTACATAAACAATGATTTTGGGTAAATAAAATGGCCTCACCAGTTAGTTACCTTTTTAAAACAGCTGTAATAATGTGACCACAGTGTAGAAAGTATCTGCAGCATATTACACCAAAGTACTCAGGATAAGCCAAGCCCCTTGAAAATTATTATAACACAAACTCCATTAGGAAAGGAGAATAGCAATAAATTAAGACAACCACAGTGGCATGACTGATGTCCTGTATAAGATGGAAAACATACAGTGAGAGTTAACGGCAACACCTTACTGGTGAGCCCTTCCTTTTATGTTAGTTAATTCCACTAGTAAGAATCATAAAATGGAAGTGTATAAATAAACGACTAGCAGAAAATTATGTGGCCGTCAATGGGAAGACAGTAAGTAAAGCTGTTACTGTGGAACACCAGACAAGTTTTCACTTTGACAGTGCTAAGCTGTGTTAAAAAAAAATTCTTTTCCATTTTTTATTTGATGTTTCCAAATATAAAAAAAGTCAAGATTCTTACACCAATTATCTCAAATGAGACCATGCAAAGCAAAGTGTATACAACAATCATTTCCCCTCAGTTCTGTGTGATTGACAGAAAATTGAATGGCATATGCCTGGTTGAAAAATTTCACCAGTTTACAAAAAAAAAAAAAAACCCACCAACAACCCAGCAACAAACATGCAAGCCAGTTGCTACTTTGTGTCTACAAATTACTTTATAAACTTTTTAAATTGGGAGGCACACTGAACATTTTAGCTGCCCAAATTTATCCTGCTGCTCTGCAGAAAGCACAGGCGACAGTCCCAACACTCTAAGCTTGGGAGCGTTGAGATAGTAGACACTATTTGTTATCTACAGTAGGTTCAGCTCTTGAGTCTGCCGAAGTCGGCTTTTTCTCTTAACAAATAAATCTCCTTAGGGCCTTTCCTCTAGGAAATTTTGCTAGGCTGGGTTCCAAAAGAATAGTGAAGTGTGAAATTTAAAGTGTGACAACTGAAGTATTTTGATGCATTATACAAATTTTTCCTAGTTGCACAGACTAAAGACAGGTGGTTTGCTAAACAGCACTGAAGAAAATCCTGACCCAA